CCACAAATACTTTTAAAATACATGGTGTGGCCCTCACACTGAGCATTTAGGAGACCCTTTTCCTTTTGTTTCAGTTCCCAACAAAGTTCTGCATTCGTGTACACTGAAAAAAGTAGGGCAGGATTTTTTTTTTTTTTTGCAGCATGGCACGTCATGATGCACTACACCGCATCACAGTGTTCAATTAAATGAAATTTGTGACAAATTTAATAAAGTTTAAAGGAAAAAAGGTGAACCACGCAATGTGTTGTAACAATGCATCGTGAAACTCGAAAAATTAGAATATCGTGCAAAAGTTCATATATTTCAGTAATGCAACTTAAAAGGAGAAACTAATATATGAGAGACTCATTACATGCAAAGCAAGATAGTTCAAGCTGTGATTTGTCATAATTGTGATGATTATGGCATACAGCTCATGAAAACCTCAAATCCACAATCTCAGAAAATTAGAATATTACATGCAATCAATAAAACAAGGATTGTACATCGGACCTCTGAAAAGAATAAGCGTGCATATGTACTCAGTACTTGGTTTGGGCCCCTTTTGCAGCAATTACTGCCTCAATGCAGCGTGTCAGCCTGTGGCACTGCTGAGGTGTTATGGAAGAACAGGATGCTTCAATAGCGGCCTTCAGCTCTTCTGCATTGTTCGGTCTCATGTCTCTTATCTTTCTCTTGGCAATGCCCCATAGATTCTCTAAGGGGTTCAGGTCAGGCGAGTTTGCTGGCCAATCAAGCACAGTAATCCCACTGTCATTGAACCAGGTTTTGGTGCTTTTGGAAGTGTGGGCAGGTGCCAAGTCCTGCTGGAAAATGAAGTCAGCATCCCCATAAAGCTCGTCTGTGGAAGGAAGCATGAAGTGCTCCAAAATCTCCTGGTAGACGGCTGCGTTGACCCTGGACTTAATGAAGCACAGTGGACCAACACCAGCAGATGACATGGCTCCCCAAATCAACACAGACTGTGGAAACTTCACACTGGACTTCAAGCATCTTGCAGTGTGTGCCTCTCCATTCTTCCTCCATACTCTGGGTCCTTGGTTTCCAAATGAGATGCAAAAGTTGCTCTCATCAGAAAAGAGGACTTTGGACCACTGAGCAACAGACCAGGTCTGTTTTTCTTTAGCCCAGGTAAGACGCTTCTGACATTGTTTGTTGTTCAGGAGTGGCTTGACAAGAGGAATACGACATTTGAAGCCCATGTCCATGATCTGTCTGTGTGTGGTGGCTCTTGATGCACTGACTCCAGCCTCAGTCCACTCCTTGTGATAGTCCCCAACACCTTTTGGCCCAGACAATCCTCTCCAGGCTGCGGTCATCCCTGCTGCTTGTGCACCTTTTTCTTCCACACTTTTCCCTTCCACATAACTTTCTATTAATGTGCTTTGATACAGCACTTTGGGAACATTCAACTTATTTTGCAATTACCTTTTGAGGCTTTCACTCCTTATGGAGGGTGTCAATGATGGTTTTCTGCACAACTGTCAGGTCAGCAGTCTTCCCCATGATTGTGATTCCTACTGAACCAGACAGAGACCATTTAAAGGCTCGGGAACTCTTTGCAGGTGTTATGGCTTAATTAGCTGATTAGAGTGGGACACTTTGAGCCGAGAATATTGCACCTTTTCACAATATTCTAATTTTCTGAGATTGTGGATTTGGGGTTTTCAAGAGCTGTAAGCCATAATCATCACAATTATGACAAATCACAGCTTGAACTATCTTGCTTTGCATGTAATGAGGCTATCTCATATATTCGTTTCACCTTTTAAGTTGCATTACTGAAATAAATGAACGTTTGCACGATATTCTAATTTTTCGAGTTTCACCTGTATATGCTTTAGGGCCCATTCACGCCAGCAGGCATGCTTTATGCTCTGTATGCTGCTGATGTGCACTGTGTAGGGGAAGTACGATGCATTGTTACAACACATTGCGTGGTTTACCTTTTTTCCTTCAAACGTTATTAAATTTGTCACAAATTTCATTTCATTGAACACTGTGATGCAGTGTAGTGCATCATGACGTGCCATGCTGCTGCTGCTGCAAAAAAAAGAAAGCATTCTACCCTATGTTTTTCAGTGCACACGAATGCAGAACTTTGGTGGGAACTGAAACAAAAGGAAAAGGGTCTCCTAAATGTTCAGTGTGAGGGCCACACCATGTATTTTAAAAGTATTTCTGGGCCAGAAAAAAAAAAAAACTCTATTACATCAAGGTCCCTAACAGAGTCCTCCTTACATAAGAGTGCCCCTTACATCAGAACCCCCATCAGAGTCCCCCTTAGGCTAGGTTCAAACCTAAGCAGTTTGCGTTTGATCCATTTCTGCAGTGCATTTTTTCCTCATTTTTGAGGTTTTTTCTTTTTTGTTGCTTGGCAGATTACAATGCAAAATGCATTAAAAACTCACTACATTCTTTTCTGCATTGTCTCCATTGAAGTCTGTAGAATCAAAAACGCAACGTTTTGCATTTAAAAAAGTCCCTGACCCTTTCCAAAAATGCAGAGATGTGAACCTGTCCCATAGGAAATCATGTTAAATGGATTATATTGCTTTTCTGCATAATGCATAGGTGTGAACATCAGATTTCCCATCAAAGATCCCCTTACATCAGGGTCCCCCATCAGAGTTCCCTTTAAATCAGGGCCACTGTCCAAGTTCCCCTTACATCAGGGTCCCCAATCAGAATTCCTTTTATATCAGGGTTCCATTAGCATCTCCTCTTACCTCAGAGTTTTTTTCTCTATACATTTTTTTCTCTATTAGTTTATTATTATTATTGGTAACTAGGGGGCGGAGTTGAGCCAATACCCATTTTTAGTGTTTTTTGAGAATGTTGTATTTTGTGGAGGGCTCCTTTGCTCCCCATTTGGAATTTTTTTGGGGGGTCTAAAGCAGACCTAGAGGACTATAGAGTAGGATTTTTTGGGGGTTTCTTAATTTCATTACCTCGGAATCCCCATCAGAGGGCCCCCTTAGATCATGCTCCCCATCAGTCCCCTTCCCCTTACATCATGCTCCCCATCAGTCCCCTTCCCCTTACATCATGCTCCCCATCAGTCCCCCTCCCCTTACATCATGCTCCCCATCAGTCCCCCTCCCCTTACATCATGCTCCCCATCAGACCCCCTCCCCTTACATCATGCTCCCCATCAGACCCCCTCCCCTTACATCATGGCCCCCATCAGACCCCCTCCCCTTACATCATACAGACCCCCTCACATCATGGCCCCCATCAGACCCCCTCCCCTTACATCATGGCCCCCATCAGACCCCCTCGCCTTACATCATGGCCCCCATCAGACCCCCTCGCCTTACATCATGGCCCCCATCAGACCCCCTCGCCTTACATCATGGCCCCCATCAGACCCCCTCGCCTTACATCATGGCCCCCCATCAGACCCCCTCCCCTTACATCATGCTCCCCATCAGACCCCCTCCCCTTACATCATGCTCCCCATCAGACCCCCTCCCCTTACATCATGCTCCCCATCAGACCCCCTCCCCTTACATCATGCTCCCCATCAGACCCCCTCCCCTTACATCATGCTCCCCATCAGACCCCCTCCCCTTACATCATGCTGCCCATCAGACCCCCTCCCCTTACATCATGCTCTCCATCAGACCCCCTCCCCTTACATCATGCTCTCCATCACACCCCCTCCCCTTACATCATGCTCCCCATCAGACCCCCTCCCCTTACATCATGGCCCCCATCAGACCCCTTCCCTTACATCATGGCCCCCATCAGACCCCTTCCCCTTACATCATGGCCCCCATCAGACCCCTTCCCCTTACATCATGGCCCCCATCAGACCCCTTCCCCTTACATCATGGCCCCCATCAGACCCCTTCCCCTTACATCATGGCCCCCATCAGACCCCTTCCCCTTACATCATGGCCCCCATCAGACCCCTTCCCCTTACATCATGGCCCCCATCAGACCCCTTCCCCTTACATCATGGCCCCCATCAGACCCCTTCCCCTTACATCATGGCCCCCATCAGACCCCTTCCCCTTACATCATGCTCCCCATCAGACCCCTTCCCCTTACATCATGCTCCCATCAGACCCCCTCCCCTTACATCATGGCCCCCATCAGACCCCTTCCCTTACATCATGGCCCCCATCAGACCCCTTCCCCTTACATCATGGCCCCCATCAGACCCCTTCCCCTTACATCATGGCCCCCATCAGACCCCTTCCCCTTACATCATGGCCCCCATCAGACCCCTTCCCCTTACATCATGGCCCCCATCAGACCCCTTCCCCTTACATCATGGCCCCCATCAGACCCCTTACCCTTACATCATGGCCCCCATCAGACCCCCCTTCCATCATGCTCCCCATCAGACCCCTTCCATCATGCTCCCCATCAGACCCCTTCCATCATGCTCCCCATCAAACCCCTTCCCCTTACATCATGCTCCCTATCACAGCCCCCCTTACATCAGAGTTCCCTGTTAAATAGGGGGAGGGGGCTGAAACAGAGACTGTATACCCTGCCTCTGCACATTGAGGATACACTACTGACCCTAGCTGAGGGCCATATTAAATCTTGTAGTGGGCTGGATGTGGCCCAGTTCACAGTTTGGAGACCTCAGCTATAGGACATAAGGCATTGTGCCTTGTCTATTGTGTTTGCACTGTGTTGGCCAATGCTGCCTAGCCCATATGTTGTGAATGGGCCCCTCAGCTAGCCTGTTTCATTGCTATACTAGTCCCACAATGCTCCTGTAAAGTCCAGTTCATGTGCCCCCCAGTACATGACATGTGCAATGTGCACCCCCTGTGTCTATGGTTACTGTGCACATATGTAAACATGTACATCACACTGGCTGACAAATCCATGGCAGAGCCTGCAGACTGACCTCATTATACAAACACAGGATTACACAGGCAGTGCAGCTTGTGATTGTGGAAGCCGGCCGGCCTGCAGGCAGACCACAGCTCTTCCCTGTAGGATGGACACAGACCAGTGTTCCCAGTACTCACCAGATCCTGAGCACATCTGAAGGTGGCATCCAGCATCATGAGTTTCCAGGGCTCTGTCAAGGTGCTGGGCAGTGGGCTGTACACATAGTAGGCAGTGAGAGCTGTCAGTGCTGTCAGCAGGGTAGACCACGTTCTCATGTTGATGGCCGACTCTTCCCAGCTGTGTACATACACAATCTACACAGCCCAACTTTCTGTCAGCTGGATGATTTCATTGTTCGATCAACGTCATCCAATCAGGCTGAGCCACAAAAAGGAAGTCAAGCAGGAGAGTGTCATGTCCTTGCAGAACAGGCATTGTGTGGCTGGAGTAATCAACGGTCATGTGGAACAGCGCCACCTGCTGTGTGAGTGTGGGCATGCGCACACTATGAACACATTGTAGCTGCAGACAAGGGCGCACTCTCACATGGTAACCCACGTATTTATTGAATAAACAAAGGGAAAGGATAAGCTGAAACACGTCAGTTATCCTTATTAAGGGCACAGCATTGCGGACCACACTTTCTGCTTTTATTCCCATTGGTTTGTGAGTATACATCCATTTGTTTATTCAATAAATACATGGGTTACCACGGTAATGCACGATGAGAGTGCGCCATTGTCTGTTTTTGTTCACCAGTGTCCAGACTTCCCGATCTTTAAGGGCAGCACCTCTCCGTTTGGTATTCCCAATTTCCTATAGTCTGCATGAAGATTTGAGCACTGGTTTCGTTTGTCTTTTACATTGTATCTGCATGGCAACCCTCCTCACTCGTTATAGTGGTCACTGTACACACTAGGTGACTGCAGTGGTGTATTTAGGTTTTGTGCTAGCCTAGGCAACACAAAAATCGGGCGCCCCCCACATAGAGATCCTGACACCAACCAACACAAGAGAGCCTCCCACTAGCTCCACCCTCCCTACACCAGCCATCCCACCACCCAGCGAGAGAGAGAAAGACACTCACCTTCACAGCCCCAGACATCCCCTGGAGTAAGAGTCAGGCTCTGCATTCACCGTCAAGGAGCCCGCAGCCTCTTTTGGATCCCACCCGGTCCCCATGCCATGTGTGTCCCTTCTTCTGTCTCTTCTTCCAGAGTACAATGCTGCCCCCCCCTGAAAAGTGCCACCCTAGGCAAATGCCTTGTTTGCCTTGCAGTAAATACACCCCTGGGTGACTGGGACAACATTTGCATGCCTTGGGGCAAGTGGTTTGGTAAACCATATCATAATCTGTGAAAACAGGTTACTGCCTATCACTTTCTGCAGTCAGAGGTAAAAAAAAATGCTACTGCTGCGAAGCACACCATTATGGTTGCAGCATATGTACAGCCCTGTCTGTCTGTATTGAAACATTTTGAGTGGGGGCAGTAAAACCACAGCTCAGTCACCTGTTTTTACCACTCCCCCGTCCACCCAGGTGGCTGAGGGGAACAGGGGTGGACAGGAAGCTGAGCCAGGGTATAACTGCCCCCCCCCCCCCAATGCTATCATTACAGTCAGTACAAATACTGTGGCCGCAATGCTTTGCAGCCATGGCATTTTTAACTCGGACGCAGAGTTTGATGTACGCCACCACTTGCCACATGCTAGAGATCAGTGGGGCTGCACCACAACCATTTGACTCGCAGTTGTGGAGCTGTGCCACAACGTAAAGTTACTGTTTGGTGTTTAAATAAAAACTGAAAAACAAAAATATAGGCAGTAGACCCTCCTTAACCACTGTCAGTCACTGCAATACCACCCTCTGAAAAGCCTTTCACTGTGAATTACTTTGTCAGAGGGCGGTAAGCACATGATGTGGCCAATATAGTCTTCATCATAAGCCCATGCAAAACTCTGCTACTAAGATGAGGTTGTGGAAGAGGGCGGTAAGCACGTGATGTGGCCAATATAGTCTTCATCAGAAGCCCATGCTAAACTCTGCTACTAAGATGAGGTTGTGGAAGAGGGCGGTAAGCACGTGATGTGGCCAATATAGTCTTCATCAGAAGCCCATGCTAAACTCTGCTACTAAGATGAGGTTGTGTAAGACATTTTTATGTCACAGGTCATAGGCCATGGCAAGACTGAGCACAGCAACAAGACACAAGGTAGTTATACTGCATCAGCAAGGTCTCTCCCAGGCAAAGATTTCAAAGAAGACTGAGGTTTCAAGACTGGGGGTTCATTTAGAAAAAATATTGAATGGGCATCTTAGAGAATACAGGATATCCACACCCTCAAAAGTTGAACTTGATGGACTAATGTCTTTATTCAACCTTACTATGTAGCTGTTTTACCTATGTAAGATGTGCTGTTCAATCTCTTTTGAAGAAGCACAAAGAAATGGGCAACATTGAGGACTGTAGACACACTGGTTGGCCAAGGAAACATAGTGTAGCAGACAAAAGACACATCATGCTTACTTCCCTATGACATCGGAAGAGGTCCAGCAATGCCATCAGCACAGAACTAGCAGAAACCATTGGGACCCAGGTACATTCATCTAATGTCTGGTGAAATCTGGCCAGAAGTGGTCTTAGTGGAAGAATTGCGGCCAAAAAAACATATCTCTGATGTGGAAACATGGCTAAGCAACTCAACTACACACAAAAACATAGGAATTGGGATGCAGAAAAATGGCAGCAGGTACTCTGGATTGATAAGTCAAAAAGTGAAATATTTGCTGTAGCAGGAGGCATTTTGTTTGCTGAAGAGCTAGAGAACGATACAATAATGAGTGTCTGCAGGTAACAGTGACGCATGGTGGAAGATCCTTGCAAGCTTGGGACTGCATTGCTTCAAATTGAGTTGGAGTTTTGGCAAGGACCAATGGTGCCCTCAATGCTGAGACACAGGCAGATACTTATCCATCATGCCATTCCATCAGGGAGGTGTGTGATTGACCCTAATTTATTCTGTAGCAGGACAACAACCCAAAACATACAGCCAAAGTTTTCTCAGAAACCCTCTCACCACATGCCCCCTGGATCCTGCCCCCTCTCTTAACTACTACGGTCACCCTCTTCTTCTGTCCTATGCTCCCTCACTCATATCTTCAATCTCTTCCTCTCTGTCTCCTCCTCTTCACTTCCTCTTTCTGTAGGGGCCCCTCAAGGTTCTGTCCTTGGACCCTTTCTCTTCTCCAACCGAACCGGATATCGTATGTATTCTCCAGCGCCTCAGGATATGCACAGCCAAAAGGGAAGCCAAGGGAACCAGGACAGTGACAACCAAAGGAAATGCTTCAGGGGTGCAGCCCTCCTCAGACGGGGAGATCAGCCACTAGATAGAGAGAATAAACAGGTGGCGCACACACCTAGTGCATTATCCAAGGTTTATTGAAAGGAGTGAAAAACAAAAACATACTCACAGACGAAACATGTATCTAAAAAGAATTTGCATAATGACGATGGCCACAATGGCAAGCAAGGTGTTCCAACTGTCAGTGCGGTCAAATGGCTGACGCGTTCTTAACCTCGGAAACCACTAAGCAACTTATTCACTCCCTTGTTATCTCTCGCCTTGACTATTGTAACTCCCTCCTCATTGGCCTATCTCATTGCAGGCTATCCCCTCTTCAGTCTATCATGAATGCTGCTGCCAGACTCATCCACCTTACTAACCGTTCTGTATCAGCCACCCCTCTCTACCACTTCCTCCACTGGCTTCCCGTTGCCCAACAAAAAAAATTCAAAACATTAACAATAACATATAAAGCCATTTATAACTCTGCCCCAAATTACATCACCAATCTTGTCTCCAAATATCACCCAAACTGTACTCTCTGCTCCTCGCACGACCTCCTACTCTCTAGCTCCCTTGTCCCCTCCTCCCATGCTCATCTCCAGGACTTCTTCAGAGCCTCCACCATCCTCTGGAATGCTCTACCCCAATCTATCCGACCATCGCCTGCTCTGCCCACTTTTAGTCAATCTCTGAAAACATATCTTTCAGGGTAACCTATCCTGCCTTCAGCTAATAACAGAATCTTCTATTACTCCTATCAGTTTATCCCCCACAGTTATTACCTTTTGTACCACCAGCCCCTCTCTCTTAGATTGTAAGCTCCAAGGAGCAAAGCCCTCCTAACCCTCTTGTATTGAACTGTATTGTTGCTGTATTGTCTCCCTTTATTTTATAAAAAAATAAAATAACCCTCTTGTATTGAACTGTATTGTTGCTGTATTGTCTCCCTTTATATTGTAAAGCGCTGAGCAAACTGTTGGCGCTATATAAATCCTGTATAATAATAATAATAATAATTAAGAACTATCTAAAGCAAAACAAAGAGTCTTGGAAATGATGGTTTGGCCCCCACAGAGCCCCAATCTCAACATCATGGAATCTGTCTGGGATTACATGAACACACGGAAGGATTTGAGGGAAAAAATATGCATCAAAAGATGTACCTAGATGTAGCTATCTGCTGAGATGCTGCATAATTCCAGTCTTCTCTCTCTCTCTCTCTCTCTCTCTCTCTCTCTCTCTCTCCCTGTCTCTCTGCATAGTCTGCTACTTTGTATAAAATATTTAATTTCTCCACTAATTCTGCTACAATCACTGGCACAGTTTGCTACTTTGTATTAAAGTATAACTCAAGACAAAACTTTTTTTTTTAGTTTTGGATAGAGTGAAGAGGGACACCCGTCAGGTTTATGTTGCTGTCTGTGCCCTCAGTAATGAGATTCACCCTCTTTATTTCTCCTGTTTACCATAATTATTGAAAGCGAAAGTAAAAGAAAAACCTAGGGGTCCCCAAGGAATTCCCTTAATTTGCAGGGATTTTCTCTCGCTATGGGACAGGAAATGATGGGAAATCACTGCAATAGAACACAGATGGCGAAAAACAATATGACAAGGGTTATAACCCTCCCTTAATTTATTCAAAGTGACAAAAAGAAAGGTTTGCCTATAGTTCTACTTTAGCCCTGGTTCACATATGTGGATTCCTGTGGTCCGCGTTTCGCACGGGCATGAGTGCCCATTCATTTGAATGGACTCTTGTGCTCCGGGACACGCAGGGAAGAAGTCCCTGCACTTCTTCTGAAAATGCAGCCCGCACGGGAACCTCGGTTCCCAGTGCGGTTGTGATTTCCAGTTGGGGCAGCATGCCATTAGAACTAATGGCACCCGCCCGCAGGTCCGCATTCCACTGTGCGGGTGGTGCGGC